AATTATATTTTAGGTATACTTTTGAAATATACGTGTTATACGATTATTATAAAAAAAAGATAGTTCGTATACAAAAATGATAAAAAAAATATATTTCGTATACTTACAATATACTATTGTTATGTTGTTTTTATATTTATGTTATAAGATCCACACACATGTAAATTATACATAATGAATATTTATTAAAATATTTTTTGTATACTGAAAAGTATAATATAAATAGATTTCCTATATACTTTAGATGTATATAAAATTTAGTAAATAATCTGTTTCGAAAAGATTACTATAATGAATATACTTTTGAAATTCTGGATATACGGAATAAATATTTTGATGGATGCTTTCTCTAGCGGTTTACGCATATATTTAACAATGCCTATTAGTATTATTAGATTAAAATATTAAAAAATCATAAGTCTCTTTATAAATTAATATTAGAAAACATGTTTTATTAGTTCTTTTTAAATTTTGTTACATGAGAAATTCATTGTGATTTGGATGTCTACAAGATACAAGTATTGATGATTGTGGAATTTCAATTAAGGTTACTTTTTCTTTTATCATTGTAACATTTACAGCTGATAAATCTTCACATGCTGCATTCAAAAAAACCATATGGTTTATTGGGGTTCCAAATACATTATGATGATAATCATTAAAATATATCCCTAAAGCATAACATTCGAGTGTATCTCCTATAGTAATTACTACAAATTCTTCAATTTCAAAAATTTCACAATTTTTCAACATTACTACATAATTTCTTCTGTTTTTAAATTTTTTATACGTTTTGGAACATATTATCTCATTTTGAATCATTATTCTTCGAAAATATTGGATATTTTGGGAACTTTCTACTGCAATGTTTATTCTCTGTAATGCTAAATAATAATTTCTCGGTAAAATATCAATTGGAAGTGATTCTCCTATTACAGACACACCATACAAGCTCAAAGAAATTCGAGGAGGCTCTTTTTTCTTTAAAATATTATTTAAACATCTTCTCTGAATATCTGAAAGGTATTCTGAGCAAACGTTATAAAGTCGCACTAAAGCACATTTTTGTTGAAAAGTATTACAGATTTGGAGTGACACTCCTTGAGAGCTTTTTACTAAAGATTTCAACTCTTTATTAAAATCTTCATATGGAAACATGCTGTGTGTCCAAAGGGGTCCCCATTTGAATACACTATTTGTTAAATGCAGTAATAGACGAATATTGAACGATACATGTTCTACAGAGTACAAAGTTGGAACATCATTTACAAATTGAAGTAAATCTCGTTCTGCCAAGACTAATTTAGATCGCATAACAGAAGTTTCTAATAAGATAGATATACTATTGACAAGTAATGCCCAGTGATCAACATATTTTTTTGGTAATACTGACTTTAAAATTGGTAAACTGTAGAATAGCAACCAAATCGCCCATTCATGAGCTCTCCATTTAAGTCTATCAGATATTGCACGTGGTGTACGAGATATTTCACTGTTTGGCTTATAAGATGATAAAATAGAGTCAACAAAGGCAGTTTGACGGCCAACGTAAAAAAGTTCTTCGTGATATTGAGAATCAAACCATAATTTTGCGAACTGTTTACATACGCCTAATGCAACACAATGCATCCAATCTGGGGCAAAATTATCAATTATGTTGAAATAAGGAATGTCACATAAATTGGAATAACCTTTAATTCCTTTATCACAAGCATCAGCATGCAATAGAGTATCTTCATGATTACGAAGCCCGTCTCCATATCCATTTCTTTCTTCATCTACGGGGTATACTCGAACTCTTCCGTTTCCTTTATCAATTAGATAGCCCTTATGAAGGCAATAACTACATCCATAGTTTCCATTATATTGCGTCGAATTTTGAATGAGAGGTCTTCCGACTGAGTCGCACATGCAAATAAGAACTCGACATTTTTTTGTATACAGTCGTCCTTCGCGAGAATATTGGAAACCATTATTATATAAATCTATTGTTTCATTTATAAAAGGTTTGAGAAAGTTATTCATAGATTTCGGCTTCCCTCTGCCGAACCATAGTGCTACCAACATTATGTTCTGTCCACGTTGTCGAGGTGACAATTCATTCAGCGTGCATAATAATGGATAAATAGAAAAATCTGAATGCTCAAATATTGATGCACCGTCCAGACTAAAGTTGATACTAATCATATTTTGGCTGTTATTTTTTTTGTATGAAGAACCATCAAATATATCTTCAATGGCGTGATTATTAATTTTTTGACGACTATCATAATATAAATCACCATCACGCGATAACTCTAAAATATCACGCAGTTGGTCCTTTAAATTCATGTATATAAAAATATCTCCAGATGCTGTATCAACAGTAGTACTAATAGTTTTGTGACACTCTGTACAATTGAATAATTCTTCAGCATTTCTTACAATTTCGGCATGTGCTCCTATGTAATGTCCACAATGACAGCATAAATGATGAATACTCATTAGCTGTGAGAATCTTGACATGATCTTCTTAAAATAATATTTGGAATTATGTGTAGTTGGTGACTCAGATAAAGCCTCAATTACGTTCATCATAGATTCAGTTGCAGCATAAGTTAAATTATGACGAAGTTTTGATGCAATCACTAATAAAGTTTGGATTAAAACATCCATCGAAAATTCGGAATAACGTAATGGTGAATGTTGGGGTGTTGATGAATCTAAATTTTCACTGAACGAATCTGACATGTTCACATTGTTATTTATTGATGCAGTTTCTTCATCACTTGTAGAATCATTAGATTCATTATCATGAATTGAATTCTCATCTGAAAATACGATGTTTTCCTCATTCTGATGTGATGCATTAGATCGGTTATGATCGTGATTCAAAGAAGTAGAGGCTACATTGTTTACTGGATCAGTTGGTAGCTGTAACATACGAACATTATAAACTTTTTTTATTGAATGTTCAATATTTAAAAGAAATACAAAGTTCGTGTTCAAGAAAAAATACATAGCTAAAAGAGTATACAAAATTTATTACAATGTGCAAGTAAACTGTATTTAAACATTAATATTTTTCGAAAAACATTTCCTCCAGAGGATATTTTTGTTGAAGAAAAAAAATCTATTCGATAGATGCTTGTATACTATTGAATTTGATAATCGTAGACATTTTCTATTTTTTAATTATACACTATCAACTATGAAAAAAATATCAACTTTGGACTATCCATTTAGAATAAAAAGTCTGCTTCTATACCAGAATTCACAATATTAATTTTTCTGTTAATCATACCTCAAATTCATGCATATCAGAAGCATTAAGATCTTCATTAATAACCTCACATTGATCATCATTTCCTGCTAAACTTTCCCTGCAATTTAGATATCAAAATCAGAATGATTGTAATGGCCACATTGTATATTTACGTACCTTTCATCACGTCTCTTTTTTGCCCAATATCTCCTTGTTCTGTCGGGAATAGATTCTGTATTCCCAAATGATTCGTATAATCGGTATGCTCGTCTTCTTCTCGAAACACGGAAAGAATTGGATGAATTCATTACTGACAACAATTTGCACTGTTATATATTACACTTTGATTAAAAATATGATCATGAATCATTACAGTCAACCTTAAAATAAAGTCTTACTTTATTTAGTTAAAACCTCTTTAATTTAATTTTTCTATTAAACAGTGTCCAGTTGAAATTCGCGCTCGCTTTTGTTTTGTGAACGTTAAGGAATTGATAAAGAGAAACAGAGAATGACGGAATTAACCATGGATAGTAGGGCTAACACATCTTGCGCTTTCTTTGTCACTGCGATACTGATCATGCGCAGACGATTTGTTTAGTAATAAGTATACATGTTGAAACGTGCGTATGACGTGCTGAATGTGTAGTTATTCATAACGTTTTTGTATTGTGGATACTTCTTTAATTTTGACGCCAACTGGATATTTTATGTGAAAGTGTAACTATATAAGCTAATATTTAAGTGTGATTATATGTCTAAGTAAATATTCATAATTGTATTAAAGTTTGGTGATAATATTTGAATCTATTTCCTTTTATCAAATTGCATAAAAACTATCAATAATATCTTCATTTAAGACCGGGTGGTTTCAAATATCTATTTCAATAATAATGGATCCACCTAAGTTCGCGTTAGTAAAATGGCTGGATGGTGAAGATAAAGGAAAATATACTCCAGGCGTTCCTATAACTTGGATTAGAAACTTCAATATCGAAGAATTTAATGTTTGTGAAGACCCAGATGAGTCCTATGTTGTTGAGTGGCGATGCGGTAAAAAACCTAAGGGAGGTTGGAAGTGTTATGATGTCGTTGTAGCAGAAATTGCAGGTAATAAAATTTAAAACATTTGTCTATGTAAGAAGCTGTAATTAATTAAGTGTGATTATATTTCTCACGGATTCTAACGAATCCTCATGACCATAACCTAATAATTTTTTTGAAATTGTTTAGCACGTGTGTCAATATTAGAAAAAAAAATTAAAAGTAATGGACAGTTTGTTATCACCAAGAAGAGTAATTATAATATCTGACACTAATCAAAATTCTGGAAAAAATATACAAAAGTCCGAACAGCACAAACAGCTTATTGATGATAAGAAAATGGAAGAACAAGTAGCAAAAAATAAGAGCAAATTGACAAGAAGAAAGGTGTGTGGTTGACTTCATTCATATTTTTTTCCTTTAATATTAAAATTGTTTACTTTTAATTGTCATAATGAGTAGTTTACATAATAATTCGTATTTATTTAAGTATTTTTTTCCAATTATCTTATAATATTATTCCAGATAGAGGGAAGCTATGTACCACTTTCGCGTCATCTTCTCAGTTCAGATTCTGATGAAGATAAAGTTGAGGTAATACGTATTACCTATTATTATTATGAATGTTGTACAACATTGATAAACACACTACTTTTCTTATAATTACATTGCACTTGACTATGTTATTTTGTGTAATAAATTATAATTATTGCGTTACATTTAAGATTAAGAAGAAACAAAAACTGAAAACATTCGACAGCGATGATGATGATAGTTCATTGGGTTCCAATCCTGCTAAAAAACCAAATCATTCAAACCAGGACATTTCTGGTATTGGAAAGTTGGAAGGGCAAAGAGTCGAGCTGCAAAATTTGGATGTAATACTTGAAGGTTTGTTATACTCTATGCATCAGTTATTCTATTATGCAATAGAGTATCTTCATGATTACGAAGCCCGTCTCCATATCCATTTCTTTCTTCATCTACGGGGTATACTCGAACTCTTCCGTTTCNTATTTATTATATTATTAATTTGACCTGGTTTGGTATTATTACACTCCACCATAAATTTTTTTAAAGGCATTCCTTTGTTATATGTCACGTAGGGTAAACATTGAGATTTCCAAATTGGTTCTTATTGGAAATAAGTTGTATAGTTTAGTAGTATACCTGCGTGAACCATTGTACCTACATTGTGTCATATCTGCCCATTTGGCTAAAACCAAGTTTTATCGTTGAAACATAGGATTTTGAAAACAAAAGTGTAACACCACACCTGCCTTTTCAATTTTCGCGCCCAACTCGCCGACTAGTTCGTCGCGTCACCCAACTACCCTCATTGATAGAGCCACCGTTGATTTCCGATGATACCGATCCACACCCCTTCGAACGAAGTGGGAGCATATAGCCCGCACCACCCTTCTCTATGCAGGGGCTATTTAAGAATCTGCTACCCCAGGAGACGAGACACTCTGCGCTCGACCTTCGTTGTACGAACATCACCTGCACCGCACCGATTGACATCACCCAAACGACCAGAGCTTTCCAGCGAACCAGGCGTTCAACAAAAAGGCAACAAAGGATGTTCCCCAATGACGCCGCTGTATGAAGTTTTTCCATACAGCAAACTACTGTTACGCAGCCTGGGTCTGCGCATTCTGCGGCCGTAACCACATCACGGCCGAATGCAAATCCAAGGACAAGAAGGATGCAAATCCAACTTGTGCCAATTGCAAAGGGAACCACCGCGCCACTTACCGCGGCTGCCCCAAGGTTCCCAAAAAGACCTCCCCTTCACCCCCTAAGAAAACCGTCACCACCGTTGCTTCCCAAGGCACGAAGACTACCGCCCATTCTTCGGCTACCACTTTGACAGCACCATCCCAAAAGTCCTACGCCAAGGCAGTAAGAACCGCCCCCCCCCCCGCCCAAAAACGCAACACGAGCACTCCACCAGCTGTAGTAGCAATCCCAAGTTTGGAACAAAGACTTCAAGTCATTGTTCAAACCATGGTCGCCAGCATTGTCGCCGCCTTATAACAAACCACCAATGTCTAACACCGCCCAGTCAGACAACCTTCGGATAGTTACCTGGAATGCTCAAAGCATTAGAGGTAAATTGACTGAACTCGAACACTTCCTCGAGGATAAGTCAATCGGTGTTGCTTGCATCACTGAAACTCACCTGTCCGAAAAAATCAAACTTTTCGTCCCGAACTTCTCTTCCTACAGAAGTGACCGTGAAAACCGCAGTGCCGGCGGTGTCGCCATACTAGTTAGGAACTCAGTAAAACACAGGCCTATCCCTTTGGCCACAAACTCTTTAGAAACAGTAGGCATCGAAGTTTCACTAACCTCCGGTCCTCTCAGGATTATTTCTCTCTACTCCCCCCCTTCGGACAGAGACCTTTCTGAACTCCCCCTTCTACTCCCCCAAGGCG